GGGGGGGGGGGGGGGGGGGATAAGTCAAGCAAGGGGTTCAATTCGGCAGGATGTTTGGCGCCACTCGGTCCGCCTCTTCAAGTTTCCTGTCTTTCCTCGCCGTCGCGTTCGCCTGCTGTACCCCTCCCGCCCACGTGGTTGTGGCATGCATTTGCTTGTTTCAAGGTTCAGACACCCGGCCAATTTCAGAGCGCTACACATACGCCAATGCTCCTCAGCGAGTGAATCAAGATCATGTCGAATGCCGAGTACCGGCACCGCGTTGTCCTGAACGATTGTGACTAAAGTTTACTTCACTCCGGTCAACATCGTTCTGGCAGGGACAACGAAATGCCCTTCATTGAAAACAATCCCCGAATTGGACCGAACATCTTTCATACTCGGCGACTGTCCTTTGATGGGTTCCGGAAAGGCTTCAAGAACTTCTCGTCCCGGATGAACTGCTCCACCCAGCATCGGAGAAGGGTTATCGGGACACCGGGCACGCTCTCTCCTCTAACCCCGTGCTTGTTGTTCGCGCGGTGATGTACCAAGAAGCTTTGGAATCGACCTGCTGGAAAAACCTGTGAGGGAGAGACAAGGAGTTTCACGCGGTTTTGGTACGCTGAAACGACCCGAGGCTGCCGAACGTGAGACCACAAAGCTTGTATGTGCTGCGAAATGTGGCAAGAAGGACCTTATGTGGGGAGATGCGCACAAGCGTTTCGTTCATATTCATTTGTCGAAACTGCGAAGATTCGGTGCCGAAGACATTCCAACACCAACATGACACAACGGTCAGCCCACTTTGTGCAAACCGCAGTTGGGCTTGAACATCTGAAGGCTGCCGCTGTGGGTCTCCACGTGTCCCTTCGACGATTCGTCGAAGTTGAGGTAGTCACATGACATGGTCTCGCTGAGCTTTCTCAGCTGCTCCCTGGTCGCCATCCACATACCCTGGTGTCATATCGAAGAAAAGAGCGGGAGAGGGAGAGAGAGGGGGGGGGAGAACTACAGGGAGACATAGACATAGACATGGACAGAGACATAGTCTAGACAGAGACATAGACAGAGCCAGAGCCAGAGCCAGACCCAACCAGACACAGAAACGAGCAGTTGAGAACGATTTTGAGGACGGCGCGACGACAGACGATCATGCGCGAATCGAAACGAACAGCGCCGAAGGAACATGACAAGCTCAGGTCTCGAAGCGTCCGAGCTGCGTCTCCCAACCTTGTTCATACCACGGCCGTGCGTGAAACACGTTATCGAAATGGAGGCATGGCACGGTAACACATTTAGTTCAAGCTACACACACCCGGTTTCACGGCCATCGGACAAAAAAGTGAATAGTTGCAAACATCCCCGGGCAAACGCGACACACATACGTATTGACATTACCATGCCTCCTAGGCGCCGTGGTGTTTTCGGAAGCAAGTAATGTTACACATTCACATCATCATGCCACAATCTTCAGAAATGCTTTTTAGTATGCCAGCATAAATTTCTGAAAAGGATCCTGCAACGGTAGTAAACTCTGGAGAGAAATTCTAAACCCACCTTGCTGCCTTGCTGCTTGTATAGTTCGCTTACGAGGTTTTCCGCACTGCGAAAAGAAACATGTAGACTACTACTCAGCGACTGGCAACACCAAGACCATGGTGCTCGAAAAAACAACAATCCTGATTGTTGCCCCCCCGAGGGACCGGTAGCGATGGCCCCAGAGTAAGGTAGATTCCGGCCTCCTCAAGCTTGACCGGATGAAGCCTTGTGAAAACACCGTTCATACCCAAGGAATCCAGGAAAAAGAGTTCATTGAGAGTAGATGAGAAGAAACAAAGTGAACGACGGTGGTGCATCCTTCGGGTCGCATTCATGCTGCCGATGCCTTCCTCGATACCCTCGCCAAGACTGGATCGCCTCCTACTTCGCGTTTCCAAGGCGGTTTTCTGCGCTAGGTTCGAGTTTTGGGGTGCTTGAGCGGGAGCCGTGGACGTCCAACATGCTGACGGAGTTCACAATATTGTGTGGGATATGCAATATTTGTTTGGAAATGTCATTCGAGGAAAGTGCTTCTCAAGATGACATCGACGACGCCGTTTTCGCTACAGTGAGTCCAAGCAGCTGTCTTTGTACACGGTGAATCTGGCTCTGCAATCTTGCTTCAGGTCCAGAAAGACGTACCACATGACTCGGAGCAGGAACGAGCGATTGCTCGTGCAACTACAATGAGAGCTCTTGTAATTCTGTGCTTTCCGATGACATCAACCCACCTGCTGAGCATCACTTCCCACTCTTGCCATTCCTCTCCCGAAGAAGGCCCGACGACAGTCCCCTCCTCCCCCGCGGCATGCTCAACGCGGATGAAGCCCGGGACGGCGGTGTTCGCCAGCGTTGCTCCGTCGGAGTGCCTGCGACTGTCGAGCAGCTCGCTCTCTTCCCGGAAAAGCAGCATGTGGTTCAGGGTCACGATGACGTCATCTTCGACCTGCGCCGTCGGACGAACCGAACTCGAGTGAAAATGAAGGCGACCGGTACCTCTTCCCAGGCCGCCAAAGGAGCCTGTCCACCTCCTGAAAGTTACCACACATGCGTCATGCCCACCGAACGGATTCTGCCACCACTCCTACTGTAGCTGTGGGGTTCATCCGAACACTACTGCAGAAATGCCTTGTTCTCAGAAGGTTTCCTTCCAAAAAATGGGGACCGCCTACGCAGGATTTTAAGGGTATCTAGAAAAATAATAGGGAGGGGGCACGCAGACCCTATCCGTAACCCTAGCCCTAACCCCAAAGCACGGATTAATACGTTATCCCATACGTTTGCTAGATCAATTTTGCTGCGTAGACCACTGAAAAATGGTCCAAAGGTTTGGTAGGGAGCCCAAGTAGGCTCGGCTCGGCTTGCATATTCGGAGCAAGATCCCGTCGCAACAGCTACAACGCGGCCACACTGAACGGTTTCCTTCTCGAGACGGAAGGTGCAAACTCTCTTCTAGCTTATCCTTCCAGCTTACCTGGAGGAACAGGTCGAATTCCTCCAGCCGCGGTTTCATGAAGATTCGGTGCTGTAAAGAGACCAATCGACATCAGCAGCGGGAATCAGCATCTGATCCTAGATACTGTATTATGTCCGCACCGGAGTTGTAGAGCCTAGAAGTGAAATGAGGCAAACGACTCACTAATAGCACCCGGCATAACGTGACAAGGACCGGGGCAGAGGGGGTCGAACAACGTGGCAACATTTCGAGTCGCACAGCATCGATTTTCCGGCGCTCCTGGGACGAACCAAAACATTTCGAAAACGTTTTGTACCCGTGTCCTAGCCAAATGCTGTCTGCTTTCCGCGATCGATCCATAGGCCATATCTCCAATCGGTGGCCTCGAATGAACGGCAACAATCGGGGGACACGGACAGTGCTCGAACGCGGCGAACGTCAAGATCGTCGTGCCAGTGTCGACGCCAGAGTCCCCGCCCTGAAAAACTTCTCTTCGACGTGCAAATATCGTCATGTATGGATGGTTGCATGTCGACTCTCACCTTGATGGAGAGATCGTTGCCGATCGAAGAAGGGTGTACCTCTAGAGAGTAGGGGACGTGGCCGCCCGTCCTGCGGCAGAACAGACGGTCCCGCACAAACACTTCCACCTCGGAGAGCTCCCACGCCGCTATCAGATGCACGTTCGGGGAAAACCCGGCCTGGTTGCGGGGAGATGAGATTGCACGCGGCGATCGGGAACAAAAGGCACAGCGAACGTACAAGTCAATCAAAGCGTAGGTAGGACAGCAACCCGTGGCGTGACCTCAGCCTGTTGACATCTCTCATGCAGAATTTTTACCATAAGGAACTCCGCGATGCTGGTAGGAACCGGTGTGCCCAAGCTGGGGACCACCGACAAACAAGGGAATAGCAGTGCATATCTAGGCCGCAAGGTTTGCGTTCGCCTATGGCAGACACACGGTCCTCGGGAACGTCGACGCGCGGAAGCGAATTAAACTGCCCTTACTAACCCAAATTCTAGTATTCCCCCGCATTCCGAATTTCTAACAAGGTTGGCTGTCTGCTTACCTCGCAAGCCTCCCTCATCTCATCCATCATCAACAGGATGAAATCGAGCTTGTCTTTCTTGAAGGACGGACCGAGCCTTCTCCCGCGATCGAAGGACGTCATCACGAACAGAATCCGCCCGGCATCATCCCCACGTGAATTCTCGCCTGGGTCGCCCCCTCCCTTGGCATGGCACGAGAGTGAAGGGGGGGGGGGATTCAGGGGCGTTAGTAGTTGACTTCTGAACAATGGTTACAGGACTGGATGGAGTTGCTTGGTCCTTGTTCCTGTATTTGTTCTCGTTGTTGCTACTGCGTTCGTAGTCACTTCGATCTACCTCCACTGCCTGTGTGGGGGACGGGGGGCGGTCGTTGGACGTGAGCCACAACCATATGGCTATAGCGAAAGGTTACACTCCTAGAACCCCATGTTTTGATCAATTGGCCCCCAGGGTACTTGTGAAACCGAGCATCGTTCCCCGAGCATCGTTCCTCCAGGGGACACTGAGACACATCACCTACTCGGCCGTCGTGAAGAAGGTCGACGCTTAGACTGCAACTTGTCCCACTACACCCAAAGCAAGAGTGCCCCGTGGACAACGATCGCTTAGACCTCCCCTCTCCTTCATTTTCGCATGCGCTCGGCTTCAATCGCACATCATCAGGTGTTGCCCGCCTCTCGCCTTAGCACTGCCGGGCGTCAAACAATCCCACAGACGTCAGCGACGCGTCCCGGCCGCCCGAGCAGCGACGCATCATGACGCCACACGCACCACCATCCGATGACCTGTAGTCGAACGAACTCACCTCTTGGCTATTGCTGGTCTTGCTTCTTCCTCGTCCCGCGTGGCCGGACCACTTGTCGATGAGCTCCAGTCTCCGGGTTGGCTCTACCGGCGGCACGAACGTACCACCCCACAGGCGAACGCCTTCTTCCATGCGATGCACCCGCTCTTCCACCGAAGCAGCGGCACCGTCCGTCGGCAGGGGCCCCGCACCCGCGATCCCAGCGGGGGGTGGCGGTACCCAGCTTCCCCCTCTCGAGATAACCTCCTTCGCAATGCTGCCGACGTGTGCCCACACCGAGCCGGGCAACGCTGGCCCTTCGTCCCGGAGCTCTGCCGCGCGGCGCATCAGCCACTGCTGGTGCCCCCGCTGCACGCCGCCGAAGTGCTCGGATCGTGTCCCGGAGTCGATGCTCACCCCCTTGTCGCCTTCTGGGCGTTAGGCGGAGCGGGGGGGGGATCAACTTTCATTGGTCAGCCACACGTGGCGCGCAAAACCACCGGAAGCCGCCGAAACACAGTTTCGTGCGAGCAAAGAACTGAAGACGTGATTCATTTCATGTAGACTCCTCCTTGTGATTCTTGCCCCGGGGCGTTCTTGAGCCACAATAAAGGCGCCCCTGGGGCGCTCGCAGACATTTCTGATGCCTTCGTTCCAGGCGTGGTTGGTGCTGAAGTGCTGGAATTGAGGGTGTTAATTTTATTGTTGTTGATGTCCGACATCACGGGTTCCAGCGCGAGAGGGAAGGGATGTGGCCATACGTACAAAGAAGTGGGTGTTCAGATTGCCTTCAGTGGCACTGCAAGGTTGTGCTGGTCCTGACGATCATCGAATTCCATGATAAGAACAAGACCGAACGTGCCAACTTGTTTCGATCCCTTCTCTACATGATGTGCTGCAATTGTGTCAGGCTTCCGATTCACGGTGGGGAGGAATCACGAAATTCCGACGCACGGCGCGTCGTGTTGTTGAACCGTTCGCTTGTTTTCCGCAGCGCCCACACCGAAATCCTCCTTGCCGGCTCTGAACGCGCTTCCACCGCACCCATCCGAACAGACCGGTTCCCGCACCTTCGCTCTGCCCTTGGTTGGGTAAGGCCACCTGTGGCGCTCCTTCATCTTTTCCTTCGCGTCCTCCGGCTTCCCTGCCGCCGCCAACGACCGCGCCCGCCGCCTGCGCCCTGGCCCCGACCCCGTCAGCGCTTTTGCGGGGTCCAATCACGCCGCCGCCGCCGCGGCCGCTGCGGTCCAGGTCCCCAGCAGCCCGCCTTGTGTCTGCGGCTCCCGCACCGCTGCCAGCTGGTGCTGGCGCCGCCTCCGCGGTAGGCTCATCCATCGCTCCTCCTCCTCTTCCTCCTCCTCCTCCGCCAGATGCTGCGACGGCGGCGTCCGCTGCGGGCGCGATGACATCCTCGCCTCCGCGCGCTCGGCGGCGGTGGTCCACGCTGCGGAGGTGCTTGCCGTTCCCGAAAAGGAGAGAGGGGTGACCTTCTCTGCTGCTGCTGCTGCTGCTGCTGCTGCCGCTGCTGCTGCTGCTGCTCTGGTGGTGGTGGTGGTGGTGGTGGATCGTGGACAGTGCCCGCGAGCTGAGCGCCACGAGGTAACACATCCCGAGCAGCGTGATGCCCATCGCGACGACTTTCCTCTTTTGGGCTGGTGGCGCCGGTTCCTTCTTCAGCGATTCTTCCAGCGCGGTGCTAGGGTCCCCGCCGTCGTCGTGAGGTTTTCGGCGAAATCGTCCTTTCACCCCAAACAGTGCCGCGTCTTCCAGCTCACCGCTCTTCATCGTCACGCCCTCGCTGCGCGCCGATGCACACGGCAGCGAGGTGCCACTAGCGCAAAGTCACACGTCTATTTGTCGGCCACTCATTGTGATTCTTTTTCTCGCCACGAAGAACTTCAACCGCCTCTCTTGTAGTTGCTCTGCAACAAGCGCAACCCCAATACGTCGAATTTTTCGCGAAGATTGTATCTATCGGGAACGGGGGTTCCCGGAAGGAGGGTGCTTAATCCGCGACCTGCTCCTCCGACTGTGAAATGGGTGGCCAACGATGTCGATAGCACCTGGAAACGAGCAAAGAGGACGCGTCCGGGATGAGTGCAAAGGGCAACCATTGTGCACCCCAATAACGAGAAATGGAAGGGAAACATTGGTGGATATGAAGATCCCCTCCACAACGGGAAAAATCTCTCCGGCGTCTGTCGAGAACGAATCCCTCTTTTCACAATGCCGTCGTGATGAGATGTCGACTTTCGGTGCAGCAGCACCTAGGCTCAAAACCGCCTGCCATGTATGTATTCCACAACATGGAAACTACTATGGTGGAGGACCAAGATTTTCGAACGTGTCGGAGTTTAAGTAGTATGGTGCACGTAGTGAACCCGTGCACCTGCGCACAGAATATTGCGAGGAAGGGAGTCAACCCGCCTCCAGCCGGTCGGGTTCCGGTTAACGCTTTTGTACAAGCCTCTTGCCTAGCAACGAAGAGGACGGAATATATTGACGGGGGAATGATGTGGAGATCCCGTTCGAAAAGGGAATACCCTCTACCCGACGACGAAGATTTCGGAAGGCAGACGATGAAGACGACAAGTTCAAACGTGATTGCGACGACAAGTGCGAAGAGCGCACGCATTCATATAGTTACAGAGTGTTAGGTGTAGTCGGAACTTGTAAGTGATCCGTGGATAGCCAGGATCCACGAGAAGCCAGGCACACGCAGTCCGTGTAAAAGTTGCGTTTGATATGATTCGGGCATGTGCTCCATGTCAGTCGGTTGTCCCCACCGACGCGCACGATTGTGTAGAGTTCGGAGTACAGCCTAGACTATGCGACGTGTAGAACATTTTATCGACCATCGCGTTCGACGACGGCGTAAGACATAGACCCAATCCTACAGGCAGCACGCCTCTGCTGCCGAAAGCATGACGTGTGAAGAACGACAATCCTCGCCGGCATTTCGGTGGATGGCCTACCTGTGGCAATGACAAAAGTCAATGTTTCCGAGGGTGCCACCTAGCTATTTAGCGGTGAATCCTATGTATGTACGGATGTACGACAGGACGCGACCCAAACACACACGAGATCCACACCGCAGCCTAAGGATCAACAGCAACCAAGATTCGTATCTTGTTCACCATTGTTTGTGAAGGCAGTGTGCTCCTGCTCACTACGCGCAGTTCATGGCGTAGCATTGTACAAGCCGACGAGCTTACCTGGAGAGTGCGAGTGCCAGCAAACCGTGCGTGAAAGCAAAAGTGATGGGTTTCGACTTTCGACCTTACGATGCTTCGATGCGCGGGGTAATTTTTGCGAACAGACCGCTCCGGGATTTTTTTTTTTTCATCTCTCTTTGCATAACTTCAAATTCAGCGCTCACGGCATTTGCGTGCCGTTTTTTCGAACCCGTGGTCACACAGAAGGGTTCCTCTCCCTGAAGGCCCCTGCTCATCCGTCCCGCGGTGCTTTGCCTTCGACTTCTGATGCGAGAAGAGTGCAGCACACTTCCCTCTACTACTGCTGGGTACACACCAAGTAGCGCCGGAAGGTCGAAAATACGAAAAAAGGTACACCCCTTCCATGCACCTCCAAAGAGTGACGTACCCCAAGGTGTCTGTTGGTCCTTTGTCTCGCCGCATGTGGACGTGAAGTCACTCACGTTTCATTGCTCCCTCGCACTAGTGCCCACGAGCCTCGCCCACCCAGCACCAGCACCTTAGGACCGCCGTAGCTAGATAGCCATGGAGGTGGACCAGAAGAATGTTGTCAGGGGCGACAGAGATGGGGATGCGGAGGACTTGCGGCGGGTGCGAGTTTCCTTGAGCCGGAGGGGTTGCAAGTGGGCCGACGACGTAGTGTTGAAGGACAGGGACCAGGCTTCCGGTTTAGGCAGCGATGCAGGGCTCGGGGTGAGTGAGCAAGCGCGTTGTTGCCCTGGTAATTGTTTATCCCATGCCCCGCCCTGTCTGCCCAGCGGCAAGCGAAACGAGTGGTGTTTTTCCTGTCCCAAGGGTAGTGGCCTCCTCGAGCGAAAACAGCTGGCTGTGGTGTGTTGTAGCGAGCTGCTGTGTTGGCGCGTGCCTTGTAGGCCTCGTGCCGGCTGCTTCCTTCCTCCGACCAGTGGTTGGCAGCAGTATGGGAAAGAGTTCTTGTCGATCCCCTAGGGGCGCGGCGTAGAGATCGTTTCCCCGCTGGGCATTTTAGCTTGCTTGCCGAGCGTGAAATTTCTGGCAGGGTATCGGGACATGACGGCACGTTCCGTGTTTTGGACAAAGCAGCATTACCAACACAACAGCCGTAGTGTTCTTATGCATAGCAGTGACGTCCACATACAAATGCATTTGCATAGCAAACCTCTGGTGCATATGATCTGGTAAGGTGAAGTTATGCCTGCACTAGCTTTGCCATACTAGTGTTCTGTGGAACAGAGTTCGTAGGCTAGGGAGGTTCAGCACCGCTGGTACTGCTGTCGGAATCGAAGAAGCCAGTCAATCCGTCGCTCTGCACTCGCAAGCTTGATGCCCGATAGCGACCTCGCCAATGACCGTAGTCCTCTCAACGCGGCACCCGCTGCAGCAGCAAAAGCTTAAGTACAGTCGGGTTCTAGGTGTGAAGTTTACTGTGGGTACAGGGGAAGACATTACCAGCACCAGGTCGTTGCCCTACCAATGGTCTGGCAAACGTGGACGTAAGCTAGAGTGCTGGACATGAGCACCTGCCGTTGGGCGAACGGGGCTGCTGAAGTTTGCGCTGCGCCGCTCCACTCCAACTGCGGGCAGCAGCAGCATCAGTTTGTACGGGTTAGACGTCGGCATGGCACCTGCCGAGCGTAATCAGGCGTTTTATGCGGCGTTCGCGAAGGTGCTGCAACCTCTCCCGCTACAGATAAATGGCTGGCGTTGTTATAAGACATTACGAAATATTGTTCAACGTGCGTGCGTGTGTTGTATAGCCGGCGATATGTACACAGCGGCACTTCTGTCTCCGGAGGCAACTCCGCTGGTGGCCTGCTTCCTTCCTCCACATATACGCGTTTCATTGTCGTTGCTTGTTGCGTCACGAATAAACCGCGAATAGCGGGTCAGGCTACCCCCAAAGTGTGAATATAGGCAGGCCTATCGTAGGTGGCGTAGTGTACCACACACCCCCTGGACCGATTTTTAAAGCTCGATTTCTCCACGACGAAAAGGATTCCGATATCAAATGACACGGTTTGGGGAAACCTCTCGACGAGACGGTTCCAACGCCGCCATCTTTCGGCATTGCTGCCGAGATATGCATTCGAGCTTCGAAAACGGGTCGAGGAGGTGTGATACCTTATGCGACCTACGGTACTCCACGACGAAGAGGATGCCACACAAGTTCTTCGGGAAGGACTCGATGAGACGGTTCCAACGCCGACGTTTGCGGCACAGCAGTTTTGCGCTGCAGCTCATCTCCAAGACTGACTGAAGTAAATCTCCGCTCTGTTGTCCGACCATCTCCATTCTGGCGTCCGGTCATGAGGGCTCACGACGGAAAACGCTAAAACATCGCGGTGGTTTGCCGAAGACGCTGCAGCCTTCGGCATTTCTGTTGGCCGTGTCCCGCACCAGTGTTGTTTGCCCTCGGTCCTTGTTGGCCCTCTGCCGATGCACTCGGCGTGCCGGTAGTCCTCTTTCCTTTTTCCCTAGAAAAAGGGTTGCTGTGTAGCGGCTTGTACGCCCGTGTTTTCATCCTTCCAACAATTGGAGCCACCACAAGCGAGATACTGTAGCCAGGGAGAATAAAACCACCGACAGGACGCAACACGGCCATCAAGGAATCCTCATTCTATTGCGTTGTTTTCTACCGGCCCCTGCTGTGTGAGTGCGCCCGCGCCGCCGCGGAAGACGTTGTCGGCTCTACTTGACCTTGACTCCTTGCCGACTCGCGTGCTCTCGCTCTTTTCCTTCGTCCCCGTACGCGCATGCACACAAACCTACTACTGTAGGTTTATTTCAAGGCTAGTTGGACCGTGCGCGAGCTGGCCACCAAGGCCGAGGAGCTGCTGCTAGAGAAGCAGGGCCTCGCCCTGGCGACCGCCCTGGTGCTCTGCCCATCGCGAGACTCCGCCATACCATTCTACGACGTGGCCTCCCACTACGTGGGAGAAGGGGTGAGACAATCCTTGCGCGTTTGCTTTTCGATTGTGTTCATTTTTTTTTTCTGATTTTCTCTTGTTCTGATAACGATGCTACGGCGACTATTTACTAATGTTCACGAGTCCAAGTGATTTTTTTTGGCGGTGCGCCGGACAAGGAGTTTCGCTTGCGGCAGCGCGCCGATACGGTTCCCTAGGAGGCCACAAGGTTGGCGAGTGATGGATGTAAAAGAGCAGTGTGCTGAGCGTGATTTTCCAACGTAGACCTCTCCCCGCCACCCGATCCAACAGCGATGGTTTTCAGCGCGTGTAAGTGCGGCACAACCGGGGGGACTGTTGACGAAACGTCACGTTGGTGAGCAACGCCAGGCACTGCGTTCCGCGAAGGGAAATGTTGTTTTCGCATTTTTCGGTATCTGCTCAGAAACGGGCGCTTGATGAAACTGGCCGCATTTGTTTCCATTTCCTTGATGGCCTCAGACCCCTGGGCCGGGCCGACGTCCCCTCTCGCTGACTCTTCCCTCTCGTTTCATCCTCCCAACATGGCAGAACAGAGGTATCAACAAGCAGGAGAGACCAGGCGGTAGTGCGAGGAGAGTGTACGGTGCCCACAAGGGCGGTCTGCGGTTCCAAAGGGACTTGCAGAAGTGAGGTATCAACAGGAGACACCCCATGCGGTAGCGCGCGGATTTTGCGGTGCCCCACCTCCCCCCGGAGGGGTGACGAAGGACAGGACTTGTGAAAACGAAAATTGTCGTCGGCACGGAAACCCGCCTATTTGGCGTGCCGACACCCGCCACATGACAGTCCCAGGAAGAACACGCCGCCCCTCATTCTACCTGTGCCTGTCCACACCCCCTTGTTGTTCCTGCGGCTTTTTTCTTTGTCCCTTCTTCTTGTTGTTCTTCTTGTCCTTCTTCTGGTTCTTTTCCTTCTTTTCTTCCTTTTTTTGCTTTTTTTTTTGTTCAGGACACGTTAGTGCTGGTCGGTGACGTAGAGCGCGCGGTCGCTCGTCGCTCCGCTCCGCCTGGCGGACAGCCGGCGGCGGCGGCGGCGGCGGCGGCGGCGGCGGTTTCATCAGCGACGTCTTCCCACAAGGTTTGTGGCACCGCCTCGGTAACGAGAGATGCGGCGAATCCGCGTCGAAAGCGGGTCTTGCCTACGCGGAGTTCTTGCTTGCCTGTATTGCAGCGCTGTACGTTGTGGGTTGTTCGCGTGGGGAAGAATGACGGCGGTGGGCAGGAGCACGTGGTTTTGCCCTTGGTCGGGGGGGAGTGTATCGGTTTGGCGAAACGAAAAAATGGAGCTGCTGCAAAACAGGGTTGGACGCGATCTGCTTGTTTCGGTGCATGCCTGCTTGTATCTGTTGTATGTGGCTGTCTTCTGCCGACGCGACGGTGTGGGCCCCTTGCAGCTTTCTCACCTCGCGCCTGAGAAGCTGACACGCTGAAATCGACCGCAGCGCTTCGGGCACAACGGCAGCATCGCACTTTGTCTTCCTTTTGTCGAATCGATTCGTTGACACCGCTAGGCCTATGAGCTAGTCGGGCTGTTGCTCTTGATTCGGGCCTGGTTGCGTAACAGGGTTCATTTATTCTTTATTCGCCTTGCTTGTCTCGGGCGGCTTGTAAATGCTTTTATTGTTTTTACCGCATAGGTGCCAGTTACGATCCTCACCGGCTTCTTGGGGTCTGGCAAGACTACCATGCTCAACCACCTCCTGCACGTGCAGCGCGAGAAGCGGATAGCTGTCATCGAGAACGAGTTCGGCGAGGTGCATGTACAGCAGTAAGGGGGTGGCGTGTTTGGCATCGCTACAGGTGCCGTCTGGACATGAGGCCTTGTCAGTGAAGAAGTTGATATTGCCTCGCATGTCGCAAACCTAATAACTTGAACACCACTCCAACCTCTTCAGACCGAATGGACGCCGCCGCCCGAGGCACTTGGCCAGGTCCTCACCACGAACCAGAACTTCACGCCATCGTCAGCAGCTTCATGACCCATAAATACTGCAAAGAGCCGCATCGATCACATGCTATTGACGAAAAGCTACCTGTGCTCAACGGTTCCCTCAGCAGCCTCAATTTGTGAGCGCCCTTGAGGCCCCCTACCTTAATACCTATGTTGCCGCCGTTTGTGTGAAGCATTACCCTGGCAGTTAGGCCTCGGCAGAACCAGGGGTTCTCAGGTTCGGGCACTAACTGCAGCTGTCGCAGCTATAATAGCAATGGTGTTGCACGCATGCGGAGCCGGTGAAAGTTCATGTTCCTCCGCCATGGCCTGACCGTATTCCCCAGTTCTAAGCGTTGGTCCGTCCTTTTTTTTACGTCTCGAGAGAGTGGCTGTACCCTAGGCTCGTGGGATATGCCCTCAACACGCGTGCGTCATTCGAGAGCGGGTACGGGCTAGACTCGTGGCACTGCCCCAACATGCGTGCGTCGTTAAAGGCCGGGCGTGACCTTGTCTTGTGGTGCCATGCTCTTGCTGTCAGGTGCCGATCGACGGAGATCTATTGGCTGACGGGGATGGGCTTTCGGCTGCTGAGCAGGTTTGTTTGTTTTGTCCGCACATCCGTTTTTTTTTTTTCGTCATTGTCCGCCGGCTAGTGGTGTGATGGATTTCGGGCAGCAGGGGCGTGTAGGCGTACTACCGGCAGAGCGCGCTGCTCCGAAGCGTTCAGCTTTTAATTAGTCACCGAAACGACATAAAAAATGTAACTTCCCGCGTGAGGAGTAAGCAAGGCTGGTGACGATCGCCCGACTTCGTTGTGGTGCTGTAGAGAACGAGTGACAACAACCAATTTGCGGCGAGTTTCCGCTCTCCAGTCTCGGCTTTTCTTTCCTGGTGGTCAATGGTGTCTACTTGCTGCTGCTAACCTGCCTCTTATCCTCCCCTGTGTAGGTTGTGGTTTTGGACAACGGGTGCATGTGCTGCACGGTCAGGGGAGACCTCCTCGGAGCATTCTCGTCGGTGTTGGCCAAGATGGAGGAGGCCAAGGCCGGGGCGGAAGGCGGCGGCGGCGGCAGCGGGAGGGCGCTAGATTCGGTGCTGGTAGAGACCACGGGAATGGCCGACCCCGTCCCCATTGTCCGCACCCTGCTGCAGGTGAACGAAAGGTCGATGCATTGTAGAGTTGTGCCTTGGTGTGGCGCTCGGTGTGGGTCGGTGCAACCAGTTCCGGTTCGTCGCTTGCTTCCCCCGCCCGCTGCAGGTGAAAAACGCAGATGTGCCGGTTGGGGGATGGGTAGTCCCGTTTTTGTTGCTCTCCGGCCGTTTCGCGTCGCCGGTCCTGGTGTATTATGGGCGGGTAGTACGAATAGTGTATTGTTAGCAAAGTTTCGTCTGTACGGAGAAAGGTTTTTTGTTTGTTTCGTGTTTTTTCTTGCCCGACCGGGATGTCTGCGGTCTTTTCTTGTCGGGGGGGGGGGGGGGGGGGG